TACCACCGTTTCCGCAAAAGAGCCATTATCAAGGGAGCATCCCTGAAATGTGAATATTTTAGTAGTACGAAAAGGAGTATGAATTGATAAGTAATGAAAATAAAAGCAGGGGATTATAACCGTGGGTTAGCCTCCTATTTGTTAAGATGTCAGGTTTGAATTGAATTGTATTGAATTGTAATCTTTGGGAGCGAACTGTTCCCTGTTGTAATCGAGAGGAGTCAAATTCCAGACGAATTTCAGCTGAACACAGTTGTATAGGAGCCGAACGTTAATTGAAATACAACCACGCTCTGTTGACTTTCAGCCGGCTAGGTTTAGCAAACGCCAAGAAGGCCTAACGATGGAGAATGGATTTTGCAGTAACAGCAAACAGCAGGAAACTCTGTGTTTGAAAAGACAGTGAATCCAGGACCCAGAAGTGCCGATACATGCTGCACCAATCAAGACACGGTCACTGGCTAGAGGAAGTAAGTACTTTAGATAGCTGACACTTGTCCCTCACAAAACTCCAGCCTTCAACTCTTATATTTTTGTTATTTTATTATTGTATTATTTACATAATGTATTTTAAAACTATGATGTCGCATTTGCACATGGCAAATAGTTTACAAGTAGGGAAATTAAATTTTCAAAGAAATTAACAAGAGTTAATTTGAGTGAATTGAAAATTGAATTACCAATCCAGCTTTTTTTAACCTTTGCTCATTTATTATAGGTTTTGCAAATCAGTTTGCAATTCACCACAAATTACTGTTTCATGAATAAATTCACTACACCAGCAATTGTGCGTTCAAGGCATTCAGATTTCAAATTACAGGCGAAAATAATTGAACTGGAAAGGTACTAATTTTACAGTTTGATTATTTTGGCCTATAATACACAATTTTATTATCAATTCTCCACCACTGAATTTCATAATTTATGCCTAAATAACCAAATTAGAAAAATTCGGAAAATAAGCTTTGTTTCCATTTTGGGCTTATTTTCCTCAAACGTGCTATTAACTGGTCAGTTCCAAAAGCTGTGAGTGTAGTGCTGTGGTAGGCAACCTTTGCACTCCAGATGTTGTGGACTACATGTCCACTGATACTCTGCCAGCATTGTGACCGTAAGAGCATAATGCGATATGTAGTCCACATTTGGAATGATGAAGATTGCCGACCTCTGGAACTTTAGTGTATAACTCTGCATGTATATCAGTAGCCACAGCTGAAAAGGCTGTTTTCTGCACTTTACGAGAGCCAAGTCTAACAGGATATTGACAATTTTCTATTTACAATTTGCGCAGTAACATTTTCTTCCCATTTAATTCAATGTCATATGAGGGCAATGGAATATTTTAATTAATTAATTTTCAAATTTCTAAACTAAATTAGTGTTACCCACCAGCGATTCACTACTAAACAAAAGATTGGCTTTAATTATTGAATTATTAATAAAAGTCACAGGAAGAACATTGTGTGTTCCAGTTGTACTTAATTAAATATTTCTATTTACATTAGCATCCCATCTGTGAGTCAAGACGTATCTGAAATAGTCAATTGCAGTAAAAGATCTTACACAAAGAAAAAAAAAATTCACATCCTGGTAATTGTGTCTATGTGTCACAGTTTCATTGATAGGATGTCAAAGAAATCAGACTAATTTCATCATATCTGTCAATGTAATGCACCTTATACTGCCCACCCAACTTCTAATACTGCTCTGCTTCCTTGTTTCTCCCATCATCGCCTTAGAATGCATATATTGACAACGAGGGAAACTTTAATTTTAGTGTGAGTGGTGGAGTAACCAGGGGCAAATTTATTTTGAGAAATTTTAGGTGACACATACATATCTTATTCGCAAAGAGGGATTTCTTAACATATTTTATGTTGTTTAAAGACACATTACTGTGAATGTTATTGCTTTAGAGCTCTGTTACACACCAACAATATGTAGCTTTCAGAAAAGAATTACATTAGGATAGAAAAGATGCACAGAGGGATTTGGAAAATACCAAAATATGAACTGTGGGGAGCCTGACCTCGACAGATAGCAGACGCCATTTCACCTCTCTCCGTACTATTCTCCCTCTACAGCTTGTTTTATGGGAGCCACACTGAGCATTTACAATCTGAATGCCTGCCCTTATACTTCTGAACCTTACCGCAACGATATATGCCGTTTCTACACACTCCTAAGTCGAAGCGGCAAAACGCAGATCTAGGGCCTATTACCCACCTCTGGACCTCGATTTAGTGACTGTACTCGATGACTTGATTCCTGCCGGAGCTCCAGTATCAGGGTCTGCACGCAGCACACCATGTCCGATGCTCCAATCCGACATGGGATGGAAAAACCAGTGTCACCAACCTGAATTGCCATCAGGATCGAGGGATATCGGAGACATGCTTCAATGACAGCCACAGTCCAAAATGGTGGCACCTGAGGGCCAAGCGGTTTTGGAGGCCAGGCTGGATCACTTACCAACCGACTCACCAAAGCAGTACACAAGACTGAAGCATACAACATTGGATACCCACAGAAGGTATGAACCTGTCACCATGCAGGACTTTCATAACCTTGTGGCTGAAATTAAGAATCTCCTGGCTGCTGATGTGGCAATCATAAAGGATGACATGCAAGCCATCACTGACAGAACAAAGACCTCGGAGGAGGATATTGTGCTCCTCAAACAGGGACTGACCACAATACAGGACTCTGTGCACCAACTACAAGCCTCTCAATTTGCCTTATCTATTCACTACGCTACGTAGGACAACAGATCGTGCCGTAATCCCCTCAAGATCAGGGGCATACCCGATGCAGTCATACCAGAGGAGCTCCCACACTATGTTCGGTGTATCGTGGCCTCAGTGCTACCACCAAACCAGGCCAAGAAGTGGGACCTATCGCCTCCCGAGGTCGAGGGGGGCTTTAACGTCAATGACTCAGGATGTTATTGTCTGCTGTTCATGGTTTCAAGACAAGAGACTTCTGCTATTGGCCCTGAGAGGCAAGACACCGCTCCTATATGAAGGCTCTCACCTCTCATTTTTACCAAGATTTAACCCGGTCCACCTTGCAATGGAGATGATCCTTACAGCCAGTCACCAACCAACTGAGAGCCGCTGTCTTGGAATACAGGTGGATGTCACCAAGATACCTTGTGGTAACACACAAAGGGACAGTACATTAAATTTCCTCTCTAGCTGAATCACCAGCTCTCTTTCAGGCCTTGGGCCTACCATTGCCTTCATCCATCCTAGGTGAACTACCGGGCAGCTCTACATGAGACCAAGCTACCACTGTTCCTCTTCTCCCCGTAGTTAATCCAACCCCAACACCAGGGACTTGATTTACACAGGGACTGTGTTACTTCAGTGCGGTTTGACGTTTTCCTTTTTGATTTGTGTTTTTATTAATATCGTTATCTTTTGTTTTATTTAGTCTCAAATATCTCAATCTGAAAACACATCTCCAAAGAGGTGACGCAGTACCTGGCTCCTTAACCTCTGGAGCGTTGTTAAGTTGGGCATAGCCCTATCTAATTGGCACCTTGCTCCACATGCATGGCCTACCCCACATAGCACCATGTTAGGAGTGCACTAGCTGATGGCCTGATACTATACCTACTGGTACTCATGATCGTGTATTTTTATCAAAATACCGGGTTTAGAACCTTCCCGCTCTACCCACTCTACAGGCTACTCATTCCTAGCTGTAAAACCTTCCTACATAAAACTGTTAATGTGTGTTTACCATATTTCTGCAACTGCTACTTCGACCATGTCATGTAATGTAACATTTGTAATGCAGTATTTACGTTTATAGTATGCAACTGTACTCTATCCAAGCATTGACTTGAAAAAATGATAATAACAACAGATTGTCAAAATAGGGACTGTTCCTCTTAAATAGGAACACTTGGGAGATTCTGTGCTCTTAGGCCCAGTTCCTGAGCACTTTATAATGCTTCAAATGTTTGATTTTAATTGTCCAATCTTTGTGTACCTGTACGAATCATAATACAATGCTTTGTCTGTAACCCCTTATATACTGTAAGTACAGTGGAAAAAGTTTTGATTTTATAAAATAATCAGTGCTTGGTAAATTATAGGCCCATCTCACTTTTGAATAATGACTTGAAGTTATATGCATCAATTCTGGCAGACAGACTTAAGAAGGTCATAGACAATATTATACATCCTGATCAGGTTGGGTTTATTCCAAATAGAACAGCTAATATGAACTCTAGACAGAATATTTTGGATCTAGTAAATAGAAATCGCCTTCCCATGGTGACCCTGTCAGGGGATGCAGAGAAGGCCTTCAACAGGGTTGGCTGGAAATGTTTGAGTCTGACTTTAAAAAGAGTAGGCATAGATGGGTGGATGCATAAGGCTTTAATGGCCCTTTATAAATCACCATCAGCCAGAGTTGTAGGACAAAACATCTGTTCTGAATGGTTCTCACTATTGAATGGAACACGACAAGGGTGTCCACTTTTGCTCTATATAATTTCTTAAGAACCATTTGCATAAAGGATTAGAAAAAAATAATAATATTAAAGGAGTTGTATTACAATCACTAGAATCAAAAATAAACCTATATGAGGGGGGCGGGGCTGGACCGCCATGCAGAGAGGACGCACAATGGAGTAGCTCCTGCAAATCTCCCTAATCTAAGCCTCTAAAAACCAGCATTATACTTACCCAATGACTGACAGCGGTACCCTAGTGCAAGAGGCAGCCCTGGTTCCGGGGAGAGGCTTGCCACAAGGTTCTAGTCCCCCGGAGGAGCGAACCCCGTCGCACATGATAGAGACTGCTCGGGTGGTAAGCAGGGTGGACAGCCGCCGCCCAGCTATTGTGCCCACCAGCGGTTCAGCAGCAACACGAGGCTAGGCGGGTCTGGCCCTGTTCCCCCCCCCCCCTCTGGGCCGGCGGGGGTTATCCCGGTCCCCACCCTGAGACCCACCGGAGTGCCGAAACACCGACGGGCCTGCTTCCAAAATGGGGGAGACCACCTGGCGAGCAACCCAGCCACTAGAGCCGCCGGACATACCCACCTCTCCTGATACCATACAGGCAGATTACCGACTCGGAATGAGCGGGAACCGGCGATATGCCAAGAACCCACAAGTCACAGAGGAGCAGCACCAATATCCGACATGCCGGAGAAGGCTGAACCCAAAATGGGACAATGCTGCACGGGCTTGACCTAACCTGCCATACTGCACAGCTTACCACAAGGGGGCCGTAATGCAAGGCCTGACCACCTACAGATGCCATACTGGGACTCCTCTCACATCCTTCCCACGCCTCACGTCCAAGACAGACACCCAGCTAGACAGCGTAATGCCCCACAAAGGGAACATTGCAACCTCTATAATGACACCCAACGGGACTATAAATAATCCTGCAGTCACCAAGCCTTTGCTCCATTAAAGCAATCTTCACCGCATAAAGAAGGGTCACCTACATACCTACACGGATACTCGTCTGGCTGACACGGGGCCAGCATGGGGTGGACACTTCAAACATCGAAGTATACTCTAAACTGTGGACACTGCTTTTATGTTTTCAGCTCTGCTTTCAAGCCACCCACACCCTAGTTTAAGTCTAGCATAACATGTAACAACTCAATCACCGCTTAGGCAGACATGAGAGAAGTACAATCACCACGTTAATCAACCTAGCATGAACCTAACTGTAGAATCTTGTACACATAACCTTGTTTACATAATCGCTGCACAAGTCATGTTCTCTTCCTATGTCTCTCCTCTGCATATCCTCTCATGACATGATCATTTTGCTGAATCACCAAAAGAAATCATATAAAAAAATGTGCATGCATAACGAATGCCATGACATGTATTACCAATGTTTACCAATTGTACCTGATGTTGCTGTTGTGGCACACCAGGCTAATTGTTAACTCTGCGCACACCCAAAATAAAGAATTTAAAAAAAAATAAACCTATATGCAGATGATACATTGATCACACTAACAGATCCAATTAAGTCATTGGAACATTTAATGGTAGAGTTTACTGAATATGCTGAAGCTTCTAATTTTAAGATTAACATAGAGAAATCAATTATTATGGGCTGTAATTTAACAGCAGAGATAAAAAATGCAATTAAAACCAAATATGGCTTTGTATGGTCTGAAAAAGTAATAAACTATCTAGGAGTGAAGATAGCAAAAAAAAAAAATCAAACTTGTATGGAAATTAATTTTTTAAAATTATTAAAAGCCACAAATCATACCCTGAAAGACTGGAAAAATGTGGAAGTATCGTGCATAGGCATAGCTAATATAATTAAAGCATATCTATTACCGAAATGGCTATATTTATTCCAAATGCTCCCTCTCAAAATTCCAGATAGTTGATTGAAGATAATACAAAGGAGTTTTAATCAATATATTTGGAAGGGTAAACAAGCAAGATTAAATCTTCCATTACTTTTTAAAAAAAGAAAGAGAAAGGTTGTCTAAATTTCCCTAATATTAAGTATAACTATTTTGCAAGTTACTCATATATATATATAATCTTCAGCTGGATTCTGAATTTAAGAAAAAGTGGTATGTGATGGAAACGAATAGTCTGAGTAAATCTAATGTATTTAAAATAATATGGAATTGTTATCATAAACCCCTACCTAATATTGAAAATTATATTTTAAAACATTTGTATGAGACTTGAGATTCTGTTAAAAAAAATTCTAGATATTAAGGGAAAGATTTTTAGCTTTATGCCATTGGAGGTGCTGGAGGCCAACTTGGAAAATGTAGCCTTACCAAACTGGAAAAGATGTAATATTACAACTATAGAACACCTAACAGAAAATACTAAAATAAAATCATTTTCGGATTTAACAATAGAGTTTAATCTCCCTTCATTTGAGCTTTTTAACTACCTAAGAGTAAAGTTTACATTGAAGCAACATTTAAAGTTTAGTAAAACAGGAATAAATGAGGATTTACCGTGCATTTGTAACCAAAATAAAGTTTATAAAGTTCTCTCCAAAGCATTGAGTATGATCAAAATGAGGATCAAATTAATGCTTTAGTAAAATGGGAAAATGAATTAAATATTCAAATTACAAATATAGAATGGTAAAAAATCATTAATAGAGACAAGGAAAGCTATCCAATGTAAATTTATCAACAAGTAGTATCTGGTACCTTCAAGGATAGCTAGAAAGTTTACTTTGTCAAGTGATTTCTGCTGGAGGTTTTGAAAAGAGTAGAGGTTCATACATACATATCTGGTGGAGCTGTACTGAAATAGTTACATAGTTTCATAGTTACATAGCTGAAAAGAGACTTGCGTTCATCAAGTTCAGCCTTCCTCACATTTGTTTTTTGCTGTTGATCCAAAAGAAGGCAAAAAAAAAACAGTTTGAAGACCAATTTTGCAACAAGCTAGGAAAAGATTTCCTTCTTTACCCCAGAATGGCAGTCAGATTTATCCTTGGATCAAGCAGTTATTACCCTACATTGAAAGATTATATCCTTGAATATTCTGTTTTTGCAAGTATGCATCTAGTAGCTGTTTGAACATCTGTATGGACTCTGATAAAACTACTTCTTCAGACAGAGAATTACACATCCTGATTGCTCTTACAGTAAAAAAAAACCTCTCTTCCAGTCTAAACGCATGATCTTCTGTCCTATGTAAAGTCCGGTTTGTGAATAGATTTCCACACAGTGGTTTGTATTGGCCCTGAATATATTTGTATAATGTTATCATATCCCCTCTCAGGCGACATTTTTCTAAACTAAATTGGTTTAAATTTGTTAACCTTTCTTCATAGCTGATATGTTCCATTCCTTTTATTAATTTTGTAGCCCGCCTCTGCACTTTTTCTAGTGCCATAATATCTTTCTTTAGAACAGGTGCCCAAAATTGCACAGCATATTCAATATGTGGTCTTACCAGTGATTTATAAAGAGGCAAAATGATATTCTCGTCCCGAGAATGAATGCCCTTTTTCATGCATGACAATACCTTACTGGCCTTGGCCACTGCTGATTGACATTGCACATTGTTGCATAGTTTGTTGTCTATAACAATTCCCAAGTCCTTTTTGTGTGTTGTTATCCCTAATTCGCTTCCATTAAGGTTATACGTTGCTTGTGTATTCTTTACGCCGAAGTGCATAACTTTGCATTTTTCAACATTAAATTTCATCTGCAATTTGAGTGCTCAGTCGCCCAGTCTATCTAAATCCCTCTGCAGCAAAGTAATATCTTGCTCACATTGTATTATTTTACAAAGTTTTGTGTCATCTGCAAACACTGAAACATGACTTTCAATGCTGTCTTCAAGATCATTTATAAATATGTTAAATAGAAGGGGTCCCAGAACAGACCACTGAGGGACACCACTTGCCACCTCTGTCCAGCTTGAAAATTCACCATTAATGACAACGCTTTGTACTCTGTTTTTAAGCCAATGTTCTACCCAAGAACAAGTATTTTCATCTAGACCGATTTTCTTGAGTTTGAACACTAATCTATTGTGTGGAACTGTATCAAATGCCTTGGCAAAATCCAAATAGATCACATCCACTGCAACACCCTGATCTATACTTCTATTTACTTCTTCGTAGAACGCAATCAAGTTAGTTTGACATGACCTGTGCTTCAGAAATCCGTGCTGATTTTTGCTGATAACCATGTTCTTCTCAAGGAATTCTTGAATATTATCCCTTAATAACCTTTAAAATATTTTACCAGCCACAGAAGTTAAGCTCACAGGTCTATAATTTCCAGGCAAGGATTTTTAACCCTTTTTGAATATAGGAACCACATCTGCCTTCCTCCAATCCTCCGGAACACTTCCTGAAAGAAAAATAAAGAAGCAATGGAAAAAGATTTTTATTCTTATATATAAAATGATAGAATATAGACTTATGGTTGTGCCGGAGGTAGCCTTATTACATTTGAGATGGCCTAAGTTAAAAAAGATGGGAAGAAATGTATTTATACATTGTTTTGTAACTTTTAAAAACTCTAATAGCCAGAAACTGGAAAACTAAATATGGAAAAATATGGAAAAATATAATAAATCAGTTGGAGTTGCCAATTAATGAACACTCAAATATTAATGAACAAGACATTGTAGAAATGCAAGATCTGATTAAGAAATTAATATCACTGGAGTCCCCTGTACAAGAAATTGATATCCTTTAGATAGAGTAAGGGATAAAAGCCATTAGAACCCGCTGATCCACTGTGAGACACACTCAATGCAATATGTGTTGTTTTATAAATGTTTGTACTTATATGTCCCTTATATATTTAACTTATAGTCACAAAATGAACTGAATTGTATGTTATTTGTACATGTCATTAAAAGAAAACAATTTAATAAAAGAATTTAAAAAAAAAAATCTGTGCTCCAAAACTGCCTTGTGGATTGTTTCCAAGGTGTATCAAGACTTTATGTACATTCCAATAAGATCAACAAAGAGCTACTTGTACAGGTCAAGAAGAAGCAAGTGTGTAACTTAGTTATAGTCAACTTTCTATCAATGTTTTACCCAAAAGGTAATTTGTTTACATATATTTGTTTCATGTGTAGACATTACAGAAGCATTTGTTGCTCTTTGTGAAACTTGATCTGAAAGGAAAAGCTGGAGCAGGGGTGGGCTCTGTTTTGAAGTTTTAAAGTCCCCTAGCTTGCCAACCTTGTTTTCTTTAAGATAACGTTTATATACATTGGAGTATTCTGCATGTGTTATCTGTGGTATGGCAACTGCTTTGTGAGGTTTTATGTGTGTATATGGGCAGTGAGCAGTGTTGTGTATGTGTGTGGACTGTATATATTGCGTGTATTTTATGTATATGTGTGGAATCTCTGTGGTGATATGTGAGTGTATATGGTGGTATTGTGCATGTGTGTGTGGAATAGTTTGCGGTATTACATATATGTAGAATGTTTGTGGGGTTGCTGGAGCAAGCTCTGTTTGTTGTATTGTGTGTTGGATTATGGGCTACCTGTGTGCATATTGTTTGTGGTATTTATGTGTATGGGGCTGTATGTGATGTTATGTGTATGTATGTAGACTGTTTGTGATATTGTTTGTGCTTATTGGCTTCCTGTTATGTAAGTTTGTGGGCTGACTATGATGTTAAATGCGTGTTTATAGAATGCTTTTAGTACTTGTATGTGAATTATGGGCTGTCTGCAGTGGGGCTGCATGCAGGGTTGTGCATGTGTGGCCACCTCTTGCATACCTTCTGCCAGGGAACAGTGTATGAATCATCTTTGTTTCCTGGTGGTCTGGTGGTTGCTTCTCTCTGTCTGCACCTCCTGTGAGTGTCATGAGATATAACCCCAACACACAGAGTCTAGGTTAGCATAAATAAACTGGCCTAAAATATACATATAACCAGACCTTAGAGTGGCTTAAGAGTGACTTAACATAATATAGAGAGGGAACGTGGTCAAATACAAGCCTAGGGCACGATAATAAACATTCGGCTAAAACGAGAACCAGCAGAAGCCAGGTACACAGTATAACATTGAATAGGTAAACAACACAGGAAAGGGTTACAGAGAAACCCAGGGTCAAGAACAAACCCGAGGTCAATACATCACATCACAATATATCACAATGTATCAAGAAACACACTAAAGGGTATTGGAACAGAAACCATGATAGGACACAGCAAATAGGGCCAGACAAGTTTAAATACCAGGTTAAATGCCATGATAGGACACAGCAAATAGGGCCAGACAAGTTTAAAAACCAGGTTAAATGCCATGATATATATTTGATTTCATGCCTGCGACATCAAACGTATGTGAATGTGGACACCAAACTGATGTGGACCAACTGGAGCCGGAAATGATGTGATGCCTCCATTGCCCCTTTTTAAGAATGTGTTCCAAATGCCAGCAATGTTATTTTCTCTAAAATTCGTGCCACACGAATGGCTGTTAATTCAGCTCACACCGCCCGTTCGGAGTTTCCTGACTGGCATGAGGACCAGATAAGTAACACTACAGTGTGCAGGTCGTTCATCCCTCTGTTTCCACTCTGGCATTGATATGGAGAAACAGAGTGTTCCCATGGCATGGCAGTGCATGAGGGAGGGTAACTTGTGCTGGGGCACTGTGGCCGGCTAGAAAGATCCTTTGAGCTCCCAAACTGGACCATTTCATATGCGTGCCATAGAGTACAGATCCCTAAGCTAGAGGCTTACATTTTCAAAGCAGCCCAAAAGACAAATGACTTCTCAATTCCTGATTTGAAGAGCAAATTTAACCCCAATATCCTTGTGCTGTGACCAATTACAAATATTAGTTTACTACAAGTACCTGTTGGGGAGCCAGTTAGGGGGATCAGACGATATTCCTATGGGGTGATCATTTCTGCTTTATCATTCTTTTTTCTAGTGGCCTAAGACAATAATTCTTCAAATCAACAACCCAGCATCCTTTTTATTATTTTTCAAAAAGGCACAGCTCTGAGTTTCTATGATAAAAAAGAATATCTTGATTGCCCCAAATACCTGCTGAAAAACAAAACCCTGAAAGTATCTTGGGGTTCATTTAGGATTATAGAGCATCTTTCAGTTCACCCAACTATTTTTGGAAAAGAATGGCCTAACAATTTAAGGATATATTCAATAAGCATGAGTTGGAGCAAACATAATTCTATCATTAGTCTGTAATAAACTGCAAGTACTTATTATTTTGCAAGCAGTGTTTAGGTTCCTCATGTCTGCAATTAAAATTGGTTCCATGTTGACTAAGATGCTTCTCACATGTCTAAGCCTGCAATCTGCAATTACAGACCGTATTCTGTAATAAGATATAGTGCTGGATTACTAAGAGGGTTATTTACTAAAGTAAGAGGGTTATTTACTAAAGTAAGAATTCAAATAGAATTTCAAAAGATAGACTAAAATAGCCAAACTGAAAGCATAGCTGATTTGGAGAACTTTTCAAAATAACTAAATTACATTAAAATGTTTTACTCCCCAACATAGCAACTGGTGTAAATTTGGAAGTCATTTGTTAATGGTCTACTTAATGACTTCCTGCTTAGAAAAAATATGTATTTTGTGATTTACTGTTTACAGACAAATGTTTTTTTTTTCCTTTTATGGTTTCTAAGATTTGCAAGCTGTGTACCACTGTCAGAATTGACAGCTGAACAACAGCTAGGAACATGACAGTGTACATCCTCATGATATGGAAATGGAAAAGCTTACAACTATTCACACATTCCTATCTTTCCAATCTCCCTTGCTCTGTAAGTGAATCTTTCTGGACAAACCATGTGCCATTCTCTTAAAAGGATACTCTACCCCATGTAAAAAATTTAAGGGTTTATTTTTTTGCGGCCCACATAAACTTAAACCTTGTTTATGTGGCCCGTGCTAGACTTTGAGTTTGACATGCTTGATCTACACAATTTATAGGTTAATGTTGACTATTTTTTTTTCCAGTTGTAACTTGGTACATGAAAGCTGCATACATGTGCTAAGACATGAGGTAACAGTGCAATACAGTGTTTCAACATAGATCAATAAATAACATTACTTTAGGTATGAATACATATTGTGACAGGTTTGCAAAATCACAGTTGATATATGTTTAACGGTGTAATTATACAGTTACATTTTATTGACACGTTACAAAATGTGTTGACTTTTTGCCAAGCTTAAAATATCTTAAATGAATATAAAGCAATGAGGAGAAGAAAGGAAAGGAAAGAACTTTTCCAGTGGAAATCAATGCAAATTTTTGCTGCAAGGTAAATGGTACGGCAATACTCGTTAGCTGCTCCGTTAGGTTGGTAATCTGTTTCCAGAAATCCTTAATGTCAGCACAGTCCCAAAAAATGTGTTTGAAGTTGCCTTCTGCTGTTGCCACATTTCCAGCATATGGCATTCACAGATTAATAGATTTGTGCCAATCTACTAGGAACAAGGTACCAACACATTCGAATTTTAGAGTATGCTTCCCTGTGTGTGAGACATTTCGGGGATGCTCTTGTTTGGCGTATTACAATTTCCAATATTGGATAGGGTATTACAGTATCTAGGTCCTCTTCCCATTTGGCTATTAAGGTAATTTACTAGGTAGTTTCATAACAGATATTTCATTGTAACATAATGATAATGATTTTAACATTTTCGCTGGTGTGCAAACATTATGACATTTGCCAAAAGTGGTGAGCCTGTTGGGGTTTAAGTATGTAATTTGTTTAGATAGTAAAATATGTTTTAGTCTAAGGTAAGTGAATATTGCACGTGGTGGTAATGAGTAGGATGTTTGTAAATCAGGGAATTGCTTTAAACCCTTACTATCAAAGAGGGAGTATAGATGTGTAAGGCCATGTTTTATCCATATTTTTAGGAAGAGGTTATGCAAGATTGTAGCACAAATTTTGTGCAGTTTAGGCCCCCAGACCCTTATGGCAAGGAGGTCAACCATAATGAGTTTGTGAGTGATGTAGTGTTAGCACATATGGATTTGTACGGTAACTATATGGGATTGGTCTTGCCCGTCAGTAGCTCTAAACTCTGGGCCATAACCGTGGCTTGGTAGTAATACTGAACATTAGGGATGCTCAAGCCTCCTTTATTAAGGGATAACCATAATAGTCGGAACGCTATCCTGAGTTTTTTTTTCTTCCATATATGGGCATTTATCATTGATTGGAATTTTATAAACAGGGTGTTGGGGGTTGCAATGGGTCCTAAATAAGTATTTTAGATACTTTAGCGAGTCATTATTTTTATAGTATTTATCCTTCCCATCCATGATACCTCCAGTTTCCCCCATTTGTCCAATTGTTTAGAGAGGTTGTTAAGTACTCTCAAGTGGTTGTCTTGTAGGACAGATTTGATAGATTTCATCAATTTGATGCCAAGGTATGAGATTGATGCTTTGCTCCAATCAAATTTGTATGATTGTTGCAGTTGACCGGTAAGTGTTGAAGGGATACCTATGGGGAGTACCTGTGTCATGATGTTGTTTTTGTAATATTGTCGATAGTCAGTCAGAGTAGAGAGGAGAGAGTAAACTCAGGATAGAACACTCTGGTTTTGTTAGAAAGAGTAAGATATTGTCAGCAAAGAGAGACAGTTTTCTTTCTCTCACAGGTGAGATCAAACCAGTTATGTCAGGGTTGGCGTTAAAAGTGTTAATCAGAGGCTACAGGGCTCCAGGCACATAACGAAAATTAAGGGAGATAGTGGGCAGCCCTGGCGAGAGCCATTTGTTATCGAGAATTGCTGTGATAAAAAGCCTGTGTTAAGGATTTTTGCTGTGGGGTTGGTATAAAGAGCCATTGTGCTCGTTATGAAGGTAGTGAGAAGCCTAGTGCCGAGAGTGTGGCAGACATGTATTGCCAGTTTAAGGGGTCAAACCTTTTTCAGCATCTAATGTCATTACTATCCCTTTTTTGAGCTTTTATTTGCCCAGTCAATAAGATCTATAAAGAATCTGGAGTTGTCACCAACTTGTCTCCAAGGGACAAATCCAACATGATCTACTGATATGATATTTGTTAGAAGAGGTTTGATTCGAGATGCCAATAGCTTTGCTTATAGTTTGACATCTGCATTCCACATAGATACAGTTGCAAGAAAAAAGTATGTGAACCCTTTGGAATGATATGGATTTCTGCACAAATTTGTTATAAAATGTGATATGATCGTCATCTAAGTCATAACAATAGACAATCACAGTCTGCTTAAACTAATAACACACAAAGAATGAAATGTTGCCATGTTTTTATTGAACACACCATTTTCTTCTGTTTAAGCCATTTTGTTGTTGATTTACTTCTATGCTTTGGGTTATTGTCCTGTTGCAACACCCATCTTCTGTTGAGCTTCAGCTGGTAGACAGATGGCCTTAAAGGACCAATCTAGGCACCCAGACCACTTCAGCTTAATGAAGTGGTCTGGGTGCCAGGTCCTTCTAGGGTTAACCCATTTTTTTTATAAACATAGCAGTTTCAGAGAAACTGCTATGTTTATGAATGGGTTAAGCCTTCCCCTAATCCTCTAGTGGCTGTCTCATTGACAGCCACTAGAGGCGCTTGCGTGCTTCTCACTGTGATTTTCACAGTGAGAGCACGCAAGCGTCCATAG